ACATGGAGTGACCTTGAGATAATTATGCTAAGCGAAATAAGTCAGACTGAAAAAGTTAAAAATCGTATGATATCACTTATCATGTGATATATCACTTATCATGTGGGATATAAACCTAAAAGCAACAAATGAGCAGGACAAACAAACAGAGACTCATGGACATGGATTCTAGACTTGTGGTTACCAGAGGACTATAGATTAGTGGTTACTAGTGGGGTGAGGGAAGAGGGGGGAGGTGGATGGGGTAAAGGGGGTCAAAATACGGGGATGGGGGAGGGTGAAGTGGGTAAAGGAGATCAAATATATGGTAGCTGAAGGAAACTGGACTTTGGGTGGTAAACACACAATAAGAATATACAAATGTCAAATGATAATGTACACCTGAAAATTTTAGAATTGTATTAACCAATGTTACCCCAATGAACTTAATCAAAACAGTAAAGGAAACATAAAAAAGACTTGTAGGAAATAAAAAACTTTTGGTCTTCAATGAGTTTGAGAAACATTAGTGAAAAACAATGAAATACTTTTCTTTGCTGCCTAATGGGCATTGTAAATTTATAATATTACTTCCTTTCAAAAACTTATTTTTGACCATGTAACTCTTTTTTCCCCCCGTTTTTGAACCATCTGGGAGACTAGAATTCTACTGAGGACACTTAGGGAAACACTGGTCTAGAACTTGATTTTTCCAGAACTCCAATATTAGTTTTCCTGTTTCACTTTTTAAGCTTACTTTGAACTGCTGTGTAGTCAAACAGGGTCTTTAAAATAACCAGATGTTGTATGATTATTCATCAGTATTGTCCAAATTCCAAGTTGAATAGTACAGATTATCAAAACAAAGCAAAACAAGTCCCCAGTCACCATAAAAATAATGTCTAAACCTGATTTAATATGGAAACAAATAATATCAGAAGAATTGATAGAGAAATAAAATTTTAAATGGTTGATATTTTTATATCAAATAACTGCCAAATCGCTGTCCCACTCCCGCCCCCCGCCCAGGATATTTTTTCTCCCAGTGGTAATAAGCTATATCAACAAATTATTTTCATTGCATACAAATACTACCTAAATTCTAATTTTGGTTTATACTATTCATGAGTTGCTGAGAATTTTGTTTGTTTGTTTTTTGCCCCTGTGGACATTATCAAATACTATTTATTTTATATAGTTGTTATTTCATGTTATTTTCAAAGGGAACACATTATTTCATATACTTGTCCAAGTCCTGTTTCAAAGTTGAAAGCATTACATTTTTCCATTCCAAATGGATCACTGGGAACACTTAAAAAGAAAAAGTATGATCTCTTTTTGTATGAGGACATTTGGAATCAGTACCGTGGACAATGAGTAAAAAGAGCTTCTGAAAACTGGCTATCTTTGAATCTTTCGAGCCAACACGGCTGAATATAGACTTGCCTTTTATCAGCCTCAATAAAATATAAAGAATAGATCTCAGTTTGTGATAGCTAAATAATGAATACACATATCTAAAAAAGGCTGTGCCTGATACTCCTAAACCTAGCTCATATGAGGCTCTAAGTGGTTCAGGTATATAATCATTCAAGAGATGAATATTTCTAAACTTATCTATGTCAATAGAATTTAGGTCTAAGACCATATTAGACTTTTACTCAGCTACTTTAAAAAAGATTCTGAGAAAGGAAAATAAAACTGCAAAGGATTTTTCAAAGTATAATTTTAAAAAGTTAAATACATGATTCTCCTACAAACGTAGGTACACATCAGAGGTCTATCTATTCACTAATTAATGAGGGAACCTGTAAGATGGCGATGCTCTTGCTTCCAAGAGCATTTTGAGGATCTGATTATTTATAAGCATTTGGAGAGGATGTTAGTATCAGTTTGTTAAGTTAGATGCAAAATTGGTTAAAGTTGTATGAGGCAATAAAACCATCAACGTTGAGATTACCTTTTCCTCCCTACGGTTTGGACAAAAACTGCAAGTGAATATGTAACTTCACTGTGTCTGGGATCTAACCAATAATGAATAGCAAAATCAAACACAATTATGTTTTCCAAGAGAATTAAACAGTTCTTGGGTAGACCTTTGAAACAATGTCTCAGTGTGACACTGAAAAGTCATGCTTTTTGCCCTTATGGCCAAGTTTTGGGTAATTTTTCTAATTATCCGAAGATAAAAATTTGAGGGGTTTTTGTTATAAATTAACTCACCCACTTATACAGTTTGATATCAGAAGAATTGGTAGAGAAATAAAATTTTCTCAGCTGCCTTTGGGAATGGAGAGATTAAAAAGAGGAGGAAGGGTCTTCTTAACTCAAAATTCAAAATAAGCATCTTTCAGATGACTTTCATTCTGTAGCAAGGTCAAACTGGCAGGAGAAATGAACAATGGAAAGAGGGCAGGACAAATATCCCCATGGTGAAGCAAGTGGGGGTTGACAGCCTTCCCTTCCCCCAACAGGGCTGCCTTTATTTAAAGGAGAGAGCGAACGTTTGTGTATTTGATCTCTCATTCTTCATAAAGGTCCTCCCGAGCAGAGCTTAGGCTTAGGAAGCCCCACCTCTTGCACGGTCCCCCTCAGTCACCAGCTAATGCCAGCAATAAATCCTCCGCTTGCCCTGCGTGGGCTCATTCACGGCTCTGTCGTCCGGGGCCGGGCGCTTCCTCTTAGGGACTGAAATAACAGTGCAGACAGATCGAGTGTGATGCAGCGAGCTCTCCTTCAGAGTCTCTTCTTTTTCCTGGGCAATCTAAAACAACACACAAACAGAAAAATAAAATGAAAACGGCAGTTAGGTCCCCTCCCCCTTCTCACGCTCTCCCGGGTTTTTTTGTGAACCACGGATGAATCTTTGCTAGTTTCCATCCCTAGAGGGGGTAGCTTTGTAAAATTGGTAGGAGACGTCTGGAAGAAAGCAAGTCCCCCGGGGATTTCAGCACCTAGGCAGAAACTGTTGGGCTTTCCTATTGCCAGCCCTGGGGGTGGCTGGCACCGAGAGGCCGGGATTAAAGGCGGCGCGGGGCTGGCAAGGTTAGAGTCGCGCGGTAACGCTCCAGGTGCTCCTTGCGGGGATCCCCGGGTCCCGGCCTCGCCGCGTGCCCCGCCCCTCCCCGCTCTGTCCCCGCAGCCTCGCGGGCTGCCGGGCTTTGTGGTTTGCCGTGCGGCTGGGCCCCTGCTGGGGGTGTCGTTACGAGCATGTGCAGACAGCAGCCCAAGGTAGAGCGAGCGTGCCGGGCGAGCCCTGAGACTTGCCTTGCAATGCCATGTTTGTGTGTGTGCTCTAACTCCCCGAGAGCGATCAGGGAGACGGCTCCCCGGCCGGACTTGGCTGATGTTTTCTTGTTTCTGTTTCAGCCTTCAGGATAATTCCTTCAGCAGCACCGCTGTAACAGAGTAAGTGTTTCTTGCCATTAAAATAAGACTTGCATGCCTTTCTCTGGAAGCAACTATTATGAAGGTACCCTCTACCGTCCCCAGCCACTCTTCGTATTAGATGCATTGTCTACTGTAATCTGCGGCTGGGAAGACCGCGCGAGACATGCTGACTGATGGGGCCCAGAAATCTTTACAGGTTGAAATCAGCCTTTTAGCAGCTATGGGAGAGATATTAAAACAAGCCGATGGCTTGCGGAAAGCTCAATACTCTGAGATATGTGTTCTTGGAGCTCAGATTTTTAAAAAATCTATTTGACATTTTTTAAAAATCTATTTGACATGTTATAAGGGAAGCTTTGTTGTATTTTGCCAACATTGGTGTCAGTTTTCGTGGAGTATGCTGTATACATTTACAACAAATAGGAGATGGATGTAAAATGACTTGAGTTGGATTCCAGCATGTGATAAACAAGCTAAACTTATCCTCACCCTCTCTTGTCTAGAGATTTTTAAGACTCAGTAGAGTAAACTTTTCTTGCATGCCCTTTGTCATTTTTATTTTCTGACCTCAACAATCTGGCTATAGGAGGAATGAGTCATCTTGTCCTATGATTAAAGTGTTGATTGGGGCGACTAACACCATTTAAACATAGAATGAAGTTTAATATTTTACTCAAGGCCAGCAGGCACAGTATTTTTTTATTAGATATTTATAGTTTATGGTTTAAAATTTCGTCATTTCTTTCTTAATCTGTTTTCCTAACACTATACATGTGTTAAAAATTGATAGTATATTATGCTATTACATGTAATTTTTATATAATTTATATATGTAAACATATGTATGGAATGTCTATACTTTAAGCAATCTTTCTCTAGGCAAACTCATGATGTTTACTTCTGGGACCTTGTGACAGAAGTCATTGTAAACAGCTTTTTAGGAAAAAGGCATGTATAAGGTATTATATATACTCAACTACATTAAGAAAATGCTGCAAGTTTAATAGAGAAAGCCCAGTAACTTGGGATCTGCATGCTAAAGTTCCCTAAAAGGCAAAAAAATGTGGGAATAGGTATTTCGTGAGTTTCAAGTCTTACCACTGTCAAAATAACTTATGATAGAGGGAAATATTCTACAGGACTTCTGAGGCCTTCTTGTTTCCCACGTTCTTTTGTTTCTCTGGGTATGCTACTCTCTGTGTCGAGCTTTGGGCTCATTTAAGTGGAGTTACTTAAAAAAACAACCCAGGGTTGACATTATTTAGAAGATGCAATATAAAACACATGTTGGGACCCACATCCCATTAAAGAGCTTACTTGTTAATTGTGCTGCAATTTTGCTTTTTCTAAAATCCTGAGAGAGGGGGAGAGATGCCTGTCAAAGGATGCAGGCCAAAGACGAGGCCAGGACTTCCTGGTTCAGGCGCACAGGTACTTCCTCCCTTTGCTGCACTTAAAACCATCAAGTGCTTTCTGGGCCTGATAACTCTTGAGCTCTTTCTTTGTGGCCGAATCTCCAGTCAGCCAAAAGCCCAACAGCTTCAAAATGGAGACACCTAGTTCCAGATGTCACATGGACAATTTTGGGGGGATAAAGATTTTATAGTTAAATGCTGGGGAAAGTCTGGTACCTTGTCTTTGGCCACTCCCCAAAGAGTTCTGATTGCATAAGATTCTGTTGTTGTTTTCAGAGAAGTGACAGTGATTTATTTTAAAAAGCACTGAGTGACAATTAGAATGCCATCTGGCTAATTTAAAAATCTAAGGAGCGTATTTAAAACATACTCAAAGCTTTGTAAGTGTAACAGCACAAACTAGGGTCATTTAAAACTAGTCATTGGCTAATAATACAACATCTTCTCCTCATCTCAGGAATATGAACCATTTTCTTTGGTTGTTTGGGCATGACACCAAAGCCAGAAGGACCAGGATACACTATCCTAACACATAGATGTAGCAGGTGCTCAGTAAATGTTGGGGTGTGGTCTTGGCATACATAGAGGAGGCACTTACTTTTCTTTTATATTTTGGATACAAGACAACTTTCTCTTCTCTCTGTCCCCACCCAACTCCTACTTCTTCCTACTCACACCCATATATTTTCTTTGGTGCCTGAAATTATACCTAGAGATAATTTCTTTTGGATTAAGGCCACTGGTGGTGACTCTTATTAAAATGGAAATTAAAAAGTCTGTCCCATGGGAAGTGGATTCAAGTTGTCATTAATACTTTAATATACATTATGTTATTAGATAGTTTAACCTAATAGAGTTCCACTTGGCCTGCTGGAGGTCTTACAAGAGTCAAAAGGAAGGAGAATTGGGAGGGACTCAAGGACAGATTTTATTTTCTTCTCCATTTTTCCCAGGCCTGACACTGTCTGTGCAGCTCTGGACTAATTCAATTTCTTTTTCTACCCAATCTTCCAAGATAAGAATGGCCTTGGCCTTCCCTTCTGTATCTGCATCACTCTTTCATCTATTATTTTTTCAAGGTCATTTCCTATGTTGTCTAGCTAACCTGATATTTGAAATGAAGCCTGGCCAGCAATGAATTCTGACTTAGTTAACCGAGTTAGTTATCATCCGAAACAATGCTCCTTTAAAGCAACTGATCATTAATATCAACTGGGGAAGGGAGATTGGGATTTGTGAAAAATCCAATTTCCCTTGCTTTATCCCCAAATGGAAACCTAGAATGGGTGACTGCGTTGGAGTCAGCCCAGGGCTGGTCTGGGTTTTATAAACCTTTAGGTCAATGTTAAACTTTTTAGAAGCATACTAGTTATGTGTGGGGAAGGGCAATCTGGTTTAAAAATTCACATTCCTGGGCCCTACCCTCAGAGAGTTGATGTACTGGGGCTAGAGTGGGAGTGGGGCCAGAACCTGCTGTTTCAACTAGGCACTCCAGGTAGTGCTAATGCAAGTGGTTGTGGGGACAGATTTCAGGTTCTTGCCTCTGCAACTTTGCCTTCAGGGAACATGGTACTACAGGGTGAATGACAATCCTCTTCCTGGCACAACTACATTTTATTTAATAACCAACTTGAGACCAAACAAAAGAACCCCTCACGGGCACTTCTTTCTCCACCATTATTTTAATGAACAAATTATTCTCTCTTTTTTGTGAGCCTCTGGGAATGTAGACTGAAGAGACTATTTGGTGGTCTTAGTGTGGGGGAGCAGAAATGACACAGGCTTCGCTGCTTTACACCTTGTAACCCTGGACAATTCCTTAGCCTCTTGTGTGAAGGTACGTCCTGCTTCACAGCATTGTCAGGCTCAATTGAGACAGAGTGAGAGAAAAGATGAGCTGTGAAGTACATATTCTTTTTCTTCTTCGTGGTTGAAAGAGGGAACACAAGTCTCAATAAAGAAAAAGGTAACAACCCTAAGCATTTCACAAAGAAACGATTGAAAGAACAAATTATCCACATATTGTCTAGGTAACCACAAATTAAGAACTCTGGGACTTAGAAGCTAATTGATGAGAATCTCTAGGAAGTCATTTAATAGAGTGCTGGTCACATTTTTATTTTTTTACTATTAATGAACAACAGTAAGAAAAATATTTTATATTAGAATCTAGTACACACATATATACATGATTTATTTAAGAAAGTTTTGTGAAATAACACTTAACTCTTACTATATTGACATTTTCTATTCTGTTTCTCTAACAATAATAACAACAAGATGCTAGTAGCTGCTATCTGGTTTCAAGACCCAGTAATAGGTCACAACTTACAGTTTGAAAAACTGCACTAGAAGATGCCCAGTCTTGAATATTTAAGGAGATCATTAAAAAGATTGATCTTTAAATTCCTGTATTGGGTTCTAATATGGAAGAGAGTGCCATGCTGAAGACCACTTGGGCACTTGGTCTGAACTGATTTTCTTCCAGAAGTGGGGATACCTAAATATGGGTTCCCACTGTGGAACCCAGTTTTATAATTGTGCCAGTATTATACATTTGCAGGGCTGCTGGGCAAACAAACAAACAAAAAAACAAACAAACAGTAGAATAATCAGAAAGGAGCTGTTAATGAGTAGAACTTGATGGTCTTCATCAAAGCAAATAAAAACCCTACTGAACTAAATGAGCATACATACATGTGCCATGTACACCAGTGGAGAGATCTATTTCATTGCTATATCTGTGAGCTAGGAATTATGTTTCCTTGAGTAGCAACTGGAGGTGTTCAGTAGATCTTAAAATTGCATCAGCTAATTAGGTCCCACCTCATACTTCAGAAAGCATCTGCAACTTTGTATGTTCTGGTGCTGAGTTTCCATTTTTAACTAATTGTACTTTGAGAAGAAAGGTTAACACATCATATGAGGGGGATAAAAATAAGCTCTTGCCAAATTTCCAAACAATAGGTATTGTTGAGCTCTAGGGTTGAACCTCTGGTTGAACCCTAATTCTTTAGAAGCAACAACTAGATTTCTGTTCTTCATTGATTTTTCTACTTAGCTAGGTTACTTTTATTGGGATAAATTTTTATTCACATTACAAAGCTCATATAATTTATTAAGTGAATGCCTCTAATAGAGGAGAAAAAGCAATACTTATGAATTTAACTTGTTTCCCATGAGATGGACAGAGTGGGTTACTGACAGTCAAAAACATGAGAGAGCAAGAAAACTTAGTTCATTTTGTTAAGAAGAGCATTTTGTTAAGTCAATTGACTTTTTTTTTAACTGCTAGAACAAAATATTTCAGCACTTAGAGTGAGTTAGAGTCTGTAGGTGGCCTTTGTTTAATTCAGTACAAAACCATAACTTAAAAATGATAATAAGGGAAAAGGATGAAACTTTCATCAATTTATTCTGTGGGTAAATTATATACCATAGTGGGTAAGGAATATTTACAATTTTTAAATGATTTCATATAGTACAAATACTATATTATAGTTATATTTATGTATGTAGGTATTTATTTTTGTCTGCTCATTACAGTATGAATCTTTCAAGAGAGTCTAAGTCTTTTCAATTTTGTGTCCTTAAGAAGTAGTGGTACTCAAAGTGTGGGTCCCCAACTTGTTTTGTAACTTGTATGAGACAAGAAAAGTATAGAGATAGGGAGTAAGCATTTGCTAATGTTTATAGGAATTTGACATTCTTGTAACATTTTTACAAAAGTGTCTGTCCACATTGGGTTGAAAATAGAAACAAACTGTTCAGTCCTGAATCCCAGAGAGTTTGAGAAGCACAGCTCCAGTGGCTAATGCAGTAGCTGGAAGGGGAATAAATGCTGAATAAATGCTTTTAGATTATTTCAGGAACCAGACTTTCTAAGGGGCCAGAGTCTGTTACTCAATTCAAGCATTTATTGAGTATCCACTCTGGAGTTGCACTATTGGTAGCGTGTATAGGAAAAGAAATTACAGTTATTTTTTCTCATGGAATTAACAACTAATTAAAAAGATCTCGGAGGTACCAAGGAATTACATAATAGTTCAAGGCAAGATGTAGTTGGTTAACGAAAACTCAGAATGAAGAGTAAACATTCATATACTAAGGTTAAAGTAGGAACATGGCATGTTCATGAATTTGGCTGAGAAGGTTCACAAAAGTTGTGAGACTGGACTTGGGCAGTAAAGGATGAAAAAAATCATTTTAGCTTTGAGTGTGGTGGAGTGAGATGGGGAGGAGACGGTTAAGAAGAGGAACAAAGGTTTCCTCCTACATACTTGAGTGCGGGAATTGTTCTACTCCAGATTCCCTTAGGCAATGTGGAGTGCAGTAGATTTTTCAATATGGAGGAGCTGAGAATTTTTCACAATGTTATCCCAGAAGTTTTATAAAAAGGAAGAGGGTCAGGAAAGTCCAGGAGACAACGGAATAAGCCAAATAGAGAGCTGGTGTGTTTTGGGACTGCTTGAGGCAGAGGAAATGCAAAGAGGCATGCAGTGGAGTCTCTTTTGAGCCACCAATCTTGGTGTTAGGTGTCCCCTCAAGTGCTGTGAACACTTAGGTCCTTGCTAAGATCTTGTTAGCTTAGGTGAGGCAGAGCAGTGGAGAAAACGGAGCTTACCTCCGGTTCTGAGCTTTTAAGCTCGTAATGAAATGACAACATTGGTATCACTACCTGGTAGACATATTGGGAATTGGAACTGGTTTCGGAGAGTGGTGAAGATTATTCTATTTTTTTGTCTATTGTGCTAATCTTAGATTACTGCTGCTTCTGCTGTAGCAGACAGTTGGATCTGATGTGGTTTTGTTTCTTCTTTCCAGGTGTGAGGAAGACACAGTCTCTCTACATGAAGACCAGACTGATTGCTCCAGTCTCAGGTATGACCCACCATTGCTTGAAGGGCAGTAACCAATGGGGCCTGATGTCTTTAGTCTCTTCTTTGAATTCTAATAATTTGTTCTCATGTCTTACTTCTTATAATGGATTATCAGCTCTTGAAGGAAGTTTTATCTTGTTCACTTTTGGATACTCTCTGTTACCATCCAGGACAGTGCCTTTGATATGAGGAATGCTCAATAAGTGTCTATTGGATTAAACATTGATTCTCTCATCTCAATGCTCCCATCATAAACCCTAAGGAAGGAAATAATTCTAGATTTATTCACCAAACATGTCATTGCCTGGAGTGTAGTCTTGGTCATCAAGGTGTTCATGGTATGATGGCAAAACCTTCCCTGCTAAACGTTTCTTCCACAATTGCTTTGTTTTGAACACTTTTCC